ATGGTGCTGGAAATTCGTTCTACGATAGTATGGGATAACTTGAAGGAAGATTGGGAAATGGAGTTTCAAAGTTAAGCACATGAATTGCTTGCCTTATTGATGGCCTACGGTTATGATCAGGATGAGCACACCACAGCCCAACGATCATAAGGCATTCGACTTGATCATGCTCATAATCTCCTCGTGGCCTTGGATCTGCTGCTTCTAGAATTCTCCCGCTTCCAAAGAGGTTCCATACCCAATTCACAATGTTTATTTCATCTTCTGGAGCTGTATGGTTGATGGGTTTTCCTACACAAACTAACTCTAGAGCAACAACTCCAAAACTGTATACATCAGATTCTTTGCTGGCGTTTCCAGTAGTGACACATTCAGGAGCCATATAGCCCATAGTTCCTGCTAAAGCTGTAGTTTGTGCTCCTTTTGCATGGTCTACAAGCCGTGCTAATCCAAAATCTCCAAGCTTTGCATTAAAGTTGGAATCTAGCATGATGTTACTTGATTTTATGTCTCTGTGGACAACACATTGTTCCCATTCTTCATGTAGGTACAGTAATGCCGAGGCCAAACCTTGAGCTATTTTAAATCTAGTTGACCATGTCAACAAGCTTTGGTCCTTGAAGAGATGAGAATCTAAACTTCCATGGCGCATATACTCATAAACTTACAATAATTCTTTCCTTTCATGACACCAAACAATTAGTTGCACCAACTTTCAATGCCTTAGTTGACTAATAATTCTTACTTCTGAGGCAAACTCTTTCTTCCCTTGTTTAGAATCCTTCGATATTCTCTTTATGGCAACGTAGGAGTTTGAATGTTTCAAAAAACCTCTTTAGACTCCACCAAATCCTCCCTGTCCCAACTTCTGCCCATCTTCAAAATAATTTGAAGCACTTGCTAGTTCAGCATATGAGTACTTTTTGGGCCCTGTTTCTCTTTCAAACTCATCATCACTCATGTTGTCCGGCGACTCATCATCTTCCTTTTTCTTTTTGTTCTTCCACAAGACGAACAATACAACCCCACAAACTAAAACAAACCCTCCAATCCCTAATCCAATGGCTAGTGCTGTGGTATTTCTACTTGTTCTAGGAGCCGTATTTGGGAAGTCCTCTGAGTAGAAACTCCATGTATTTATCATATGTGTTTGCAAATAATTGTCCTGTGGAAGCTGAGAAACCAAAAGAACCCATTCTGGCAAGTACTTTGTTAGGTCAACTATATAATGAAGATGTTGCCACACAATATTGTTAGAAGTATCAAAACCAGTGAAAGAGATGCTTAAATTATGTGTACTTGCATTGTAGCTGATGAAAGCATCATTTCTTCTGCCTCCTGTGATATTAGCAGACCATGTCACATTAGTAACAGATTTAATAGAGTTAATGTGGACACCCACATGTACGCCGGAGGATCCCAGCCAGGATTTGAATTTGAAAAGATATCAAACTCCACAGCAAGAAATGGATGATCTGTTGAATTAAGTATCGTTTCTTCACCTCCAACAATCAGACCCAAAGCACCTCCTCCAACTTTTGGGGGATTAGGAAGCTTTGAACCTATGGCCAGCCCATCTGCATAAACAGTTTTGCCCACTGAATCAATCACGAAGGTGAAATTGGTGTTGAAATTTGCGAGTTTCCCACTGGTTTTGTCCCACAAGTGCATCGCCTGGTTATATGTGGCTCGACCTTGACTATCCTGCGAGGATTGTCCCTTTTGGTTTCTTACTAAGTAGATGGATGGTTCTGCAATGTAAGCTGATAATTCGCACGTTATCTTGTTATGATCATTGGGCTGGAAACTGGTGAAGGTGAAGTTTAAGGAAAAGGCATGGGGTATGAAGAGGAAGAAAACTGATGATACTAGCCACATCTGATCTGATTTGGCTAAGAAATTTGTTTTGTTTGAGGTTTCATGGAGAGGCGTACCGTTTATATATTGAGTCGAAGAAGTCAAGAAACTTGTGTGTTGTTGTTCTTTCACCCCCGCGGTTCGTCAATTTTCATGTTTTTGAAACTAACAAATGTCTTATATTTCTGCATCTTCGCTTTGCATGGTCCAATAGGTGAAGTCATCAATTTTTTAAGACCAAAACCGAGTCCACAAGCCAATGCTGTGAATCTTTCAGGGTGATTAAATAAAAACAATGACCCTGTCTCTAGCGACTTGTTCATCTGATGATGTTTTTGATTATTTCAGTGCTCTTTAATTAGCCAGGAAAAATCAACTACGGAAAATCATATTTAGGCAGGCAAATTCGGTGAAGTTATATTTAAGATTTTTTTGAAATATTAATTCATTTTCAATGATGAAGAATTAACTTCTCTCAAGCAGTCATCTAAGAAATTTATAAAATTATTAATATCAAGCTTAATTTTCTTATTATTTATTTTTCAACCTTAGCGATAAAAGTCACATTTGAATCTTCTCATGGTTAGAAGAATTAGTTTTTTTTTTAAAAAAAAAAATCAAACATTCGGTTTCGTCATTTAATTCCAAGACTTTCACGTTTCTCAAGTAATTTCCCCCCTCTACTTTTACCCGGTCTGCGAGTCAAGGCTAAGAACCTGCCTCATTATATGTTATACTATTATCGTTACCCTTATAAATTACTACCTCCGGTCCTAATTATAAGACCCAGTTGATTTATTTGAGAAGATTAAGGAAGTAAGTTAAGTTAGTTATTTGTAATAAATAAGTGTTGTCATTCCTAAAATATCCTTGCTAATTAAGTATATTGGCTAGAACTATTATTATTAGAAGGACTATCTTGGAAAAAAATGCATAAATATGAGAAACAAAATGGATTGGGGTCTTATAATTAGGATCAAACAAAAAGTCAAACGGGGTCTTATATTAAGGACCGGAGGTAGTATAATACAGTAAGGAGTAATACATTATCTTATCCTTATAATATACTTAAACTTATTATATCGTTATTAAGAATAATATTAATGGGAAAATTTCTTGTCCTTTGTTTTAATTTTTATAGGGTTGTATAGGAAATTTCTTGTCTCTATTCGTGATCAAGAACTGAGTATATACATTCGATCCTACACTAATGATACAGATAACAGTATTTACGCTGATGAGAAAATATTCTAATATTATCTTTTCAATTTTTTTTTTGGGCCCATTAGGAAAGTCATATTTAAGATCAACAAGTTTACAAATAAAGGTGGAAACAGGCCAAATTAGACCAAACTTTATCCTTAACAATTAGGCCTGTCTAGTAATAAATTGGCCTAAGCCTAGATTGAAGTCTGGCGTGTACAAAAGACTATCCTGGCCTTAAGCATATTAAAAAAGCGTGTAATTTTACAAAATTTTAGATTGCATAATAAAAAAGATACAGATAAAATATCCCTACTGCATAATAATTATTTTTTAGTCTTGTCTTTTATTTAAACTTTACTGTCATAAGTACCATTTTAAGAATATTATTAAAAAAATTATAATTATATGTTAAAATTTGAAATAAAACTAGATATAAGTATAAAATTAAAATTAAATTTAAGACAAATATATAGAGAGAAAAATTAATTAATTTATCAATTCTTTTCCTTTTTTAGTGAGAAGTGCATTTTATTCCGCAATATGTATAGCAGTTCTCAGGAAAATGCAAAGAAGATCACTGAGGAAAGAAAATAGCCACTAACTATCTAATGTTCGTGCAACGTAGAGATTCCGTGGCACTAGCAGTAGGATGAGCAAGTGAGATTGCTTCGACTCATGTCTTCCAAGTATCTAGATGCAGACTGCGGTTTTCATTTCCATGTTAAATACAACAGTTCTGCTTTACGGAAACAAATTGTCAGAGCAAGTGATATTATTTTGGAGCACCTATCTTGACAAGTTGGTGATAGTACTTCTATTTCCCCTAGTAACAGGTTCTTGTGGCTTTTGAAGCAGCAGTCAGCTCTTTCATATTCTTCTTTAAAGGCTTCTAACCTTATACTGCGCCCCCGATGTCGATGGAATTTGCCTCTTCTGAGAAATTTATACCCTCCAAATATCGTCTATGAATTTACTCAGTATCCAGTCACTTCACAACCTATGGATTGTTTGAGATGGGTTGGAAATACTTCAAGCACTTATACTGTTCAATATGGTTACCGTATGCTTCTGGCAAATCCATCTATTGTTAACTCCATTCGCCAATTTTCTTTATGCCCTTAAATTTAGAAATTGCCTATTCTGCCCAGGATCAAACTTTTGCTCTGGAAGATTGTCACACAAATTCTACCAAACACTGCGTTCCTCAAGAATCGCCATCTCACCAATGTGGAGGTTTGTTATTTCTACTCTGATGCAAATGAATCTCTTGAACACCTTTTTCTTCACTGCCTCTTTTCCAGAGCTTTTTAGTTTGGTAGTGCTTTAGGTTTTCAAATTGTTTCCCTAGTTCACTCTGATTTACCTCAATAATTGTGGTTTTGGATGACTTAGAACATGGAGGTACCTTCTTCCCCCTTTAGATTGCCCTTTCATATTTTGGATATATTATGGTTTATATGCAGGGAAAAGATATTCTCCTGAACATGTAATTTCCACGGCACTATCTAAAGCACAAGCTTCTGTTCTCTATCCTCAACATTCTTGCTGTAATATCCCAAATTTTATGGATTTGAGTAAAGCATGATGAAGGAGAAACTTTTAGAGAAATTGTTGAGATTAAGACCTTTAAAATATGGTCTAAATAATTATAAAGTTAATTTCAAGAATTTAGGACCTATTTTCTTGGAATATTCAAGAAAAATAGTTAGAGGCTAATTTTTGAGCTGAGATTTTTAGGAAAATTATTTTATAGACTAAAGAAGCTAATGGAAGAAGAAAATTCATATAAAATATCCAGGTTTGATTTCTGGAATTATTTGACTATCCTTAGAAAAAAAAAAAATAGAGAAGGATCAAATTAAAAGAAAATAAAGACCAAAGGGCATGATGGTCATTTCACATCCTTTGTCCCTTTTTATCTGCCAAAAACGCCTCCTCCCTTCTCATTCTCCTCTGCTGCCGACTTGAATGAAAAGGAGAAGGAACAGAGAGAGCTTGAAAGGGCGAGAGGAAGACGAATCATCACGAACTGTCGGAGAAAGAATCAGAGGTGTTTTCTTGCATGCAAGTGTGCTTTTCTGATTAAGGTGAGTCCTTCAGGCCTTCCTCTGTCCTTGTTTTCTTTGATTGGGACTATATGAGAGTGGAAGAAACAAATGAAAATCCAGCCCTAGGGAGAGAAATTCAGGAATCGCATGAAAGCTTTGGTCGAAGCATCAATTGGGAGTTGTGTGAGAGTGTGCCTGCACTTGTATGCTGCTGTTTGTGTTATTTTTTTTTATTCTCTGGTACCTGATTGTCGAAACAGGGGATAGGTGATTCAGGGGGTTAGTTTCAGACTCCCTTTTCTTTGGGTATAAGGTTGAATATTGGTGGTATTGGAGAGAGATTCCGTGACCCACATGTATATGAAAGTGCGTTGGAGTTGGTTTTATTTTAATGACATGTTCGAAGACGTCTTTGGACCCAATACCTCTATTGTTTTATGCTGATACATGGGCTCCATACGTGAAAGGCAAATGAAAAGGAAATGGTATGATCATGAAGATTAAATAATGCTACATGATATTTTGGAGTGAAAGCCGTGAGGTTTAATGGGAAAAGAAAAAGGAGTTCTTATTATTTTGTTTTGGTTAAATGGTCTTAACCGCTGGATAGGAAAAGGGCAAAATGAGTTTGAATATTTGAATGCTACACGGATTGGAAGTGATTATTCTTTAAATCTGGAATTTTAACAAGAGAAGGAATTGTTGAATTTGAGAACCAAAATCTGATTCGAAGTTTATTGGGTTGTCTTCTCAAATGCTGAATATTATTCCAGTTAGCGGACCAACCTTATTGTGATCAATGATTAAATTTTATTACAGTAAAATGAGCATTTTAGAGGGGCAAAAGACATCCATATATTACGAAATGGAGGAATGATGTTAATATTGGGATGTTGCAGCTGAAATTAAATCACTTGGCAATGATTTGATTATGTATAAATGGGAAGTATTTTCGGTCAAGTGGGTTGAAGAGGAAATGAAATCTTAAACTACGGGACATTAAAGTAGGAGATAGAATGATATTGATAAAGCTGGAATTTTATAAAAGTATGAAATAAATACTATTGCTATTATAAATTTTAAGGACCTTGAATATTCAAGGGTGTTGATTTATTTTTGAAGCCTAGGAATAAATGATCTATATATATATATATATATATTAATCTGCCCTTACTCAAATAATTTATAGGATTTGATATTTGTTCGAATCCATTAAGAAGGGAGCCAAGAAGGAGACAAGGGGAAGGGAGTACAGAAGAAAAAGCAAAAGGTAGTAACTCTTTTCCTTTAATGTGATTGTGCATTGATTGCCACATGCTTGGATGTGCCTTTATGCTGATTGTGCATGAGAACATGTAAGTTGCCTTCGCATAATAATATTTGTCATGACAATATGCGCTGGTTTCCATTTATTTTGGAATGTGGGCGCGATAGATAGCTTAGCTATATGGGTGTATGGTGTATATGCATCATTGATTATACTTGGATGCAAGGTGTTGTTCTCTTTGGCCTGTGTAGCATGTTGTTTGTGATCTTGTATGATTACGTGAGGGAAATTTGTTACTACTGGGATTCTTTAGAATCTCACCCCTTCTTCCATGTAATACAGCAAGAGCAAGTACTCCTAAGGGCAAGGGAGTAGTGATCGGTGGAGTTTAAAAGTGCAAGAAGCTGGCGATCATTTGTACATATATATTTTGTTTAAAATGCATCTTATTTTGGAGTAAAGATATATATTGTATATCTATTTTGGTATGTAAATATTCCTCCATAAGGAGATGACTAAGGGCAGATAGATCATAATGACTGCTATTGAAGGAAATGGTCAAATTTTTTGATATAATTATTATTTGGCCTAAAATTATGTGTATCTAATTACGTATCTCGTCGTGTGAGCCAATGGCCAGGGTGTCAAATGTTAAACCCTATTGGCTATAGTTGACTTAATTCAGGATTCGAAGGGCCGGATGGAAATAAAAATATATATAATTCCCAGGATGAAACCTAGCTTTTAATGGATCATGTTTAAATAGAATAATTATACTAGTATATAAGGGATAGGTGTTACATTTTTGGTATCAGAGCGGAGGTTCTGGCAAGAGGTCAAAATGCTCTGCTCGCTTAAGATACATAATTTTGTTATGGTTAATTGTAACAAAGGTGTATATATTGTGGTTTTAGGAATTTGATTCCTATTATTATTTTACAACTATCTATCTGTGTTTGTAAATTGGAAATTTAATATTGCTGTTGTTATTGATTATGATTTATTTCATGATCAGTAAAGGATGGTCATACTTAGAGGAGGCAGAAGTGGAGGTCGAGTTGATGAAAACAGACCCCCACCTGACCCTCTACAACAAATTTTGGACAGACTTAATGAACAACAGCAAATGATAAATGAAATAGAGAGAATCAGGCTAGACATGACCAAGAAAGAGAAGAAAAGAATAGGAATGATATTCCTATTGGAGGCTTACAACAACAACCCGAATTACAACCACGACAAGACCCACAGCTGGTCCCTGAAGTGGCTTCTGAAAGACCAATTGCAGAGCAAGAAAGTCTACAATATTGGATTTCCAGATTCTGTAAGCATCAGCCGCCATCATTCATGGGCAGATTTGATGTACAAGCAGCTGAGGATTGGGTAATGAAATTGGAGAAGATTTTCAGAGTTATGGAGTGCTCTACTGAAAGAAAAGCTCAAATGGCACTATATAAGCTAGAAGGTGATGCAGATAGATGGTGGAAAAACACCGAACTGCTTTTGCAAGCTAGGAACGTTCCACTTACCTGGGAAGTGTTTAAAGAGAAATTTAATGAGAAGTATTTCCCTCAGTCAATTAGAGATGGCAAAGAAGCTGAGTTCCTGACACTGGCACAGGCTGAAAATGAATCATTTGATGATTATCTAGCTAAGTTCATCCGATTGTCCCGGTATTCCACACAACTACAAGAGCGAAATAATGAACGTTGGAGTACTGGGAAATTGATTCGTGGATTGAAGCCTATTTTGAGAGAAAAGCTAGCTCCTATGCAACTGGCTCATTTTGACACAGCAGTGGAGGTATGCAGAATCACTGAAAGTAACCTGCAACCTCAAAATGTAATCAAAGGCTATAGTAAGCCAGAAGCTTCTGAAGGACCATCAAGGAAAAGAAGTAATCCGACTCCTTGGGATAGGAGAAATGCAAAAAGAATGAATCAACCAAAGAAGCCAGGATCCCAAAGAGTTGCAGAAGTGAAAGAATGCCCTTACTGCGGCAGAAACCATGGGAACAGGCCATGTTGGTTTGGGCCCAATGTTTGTTATAGATGTGGAAAGCCTGGTCACTTTGCTCGAGAATGTGGGCAAAAAATGGAGGAGTTCAGGCCCAGGAATCAAGGTAAAGTCTTTGCTATGACTCATGAGGATGCTCGCAAGTCTCCAAATATGATCCAAGGTACAATTCGACTTAATGGCAATTTAGTGCAAGCATTGTTTGACTCTGGTGCTAGTCATTCTTTTATTGCTTATGAATGTGCTAGACGACTAGGGTTAAAGGTTGATAAATTGCCTTATGACTTGGTTGTGTCAACGCCCACGGGTGCTAAAGTTATTACTGCTAGTGTTTGTTTAAATTGTTTAATTCAGTATGAGCAAAATGATACAGTCATAGACCTTATCTGTATGCCATTCCAAAATATGGATATAGTTATAGGTCTCAATTGGCTATCAGCTAATAATGCATTGATTGACTGTGGAAATAAAAGGCTTGTGTTTCCTAATTCCCAAAAGATTAATGAAATAGAGCTTGAGTTAAACTTTATCTCTATAACTCAAGCAGAAAAGTGGTTACAGAAAGGGTGTCAAGGGTACATGGTTTTCTTCTCATTACAAGCAGAAGCAACAGTAAATTTAGATGAGATACCTGTGGTTAGGGAATTTCCTGAAGTATTTCCTGATGACATAAGTGGGTTGCCCCCTGAAAGGGAAGTGGAATTTGCAATTGATATAATACCTGGAGCAGGACCAATTTCAAAAGCCCCGTACCGTATGGCTCCTAATGAAATGGTAGAACTGAAGAAACAAATAGAGGAGTTACTAGAAAAAGGGTTTATACGACCCAGTGTTTCGCCATGGGGTGCTCCGGTGTTATTTGTAAAGAAGAAAGATGGAAGCCTCCGATTATGCATTGATTACAGGGAATTAAATAAGGTGACTATCAAGAATAAGTACCCACTTCCCCGAATAGATGATTTGCTTGATCAGTTGGCAGGCTCTTGTGTATTCTCCAAAATTGATCTTAGATCGGGTTATCATCAGTTACGGGTGAAAGCAGAAGATATACCAAAAACTGCTTTTAGAACTCGGTATGGGCATTACGAGTTCTTGGTGATGCCATTTGGACTGACTAATGCACCGGCAGTATTCATGGATTACATGAACCGAATCTTTCGACAGTATTTGGATCAATTTGTGGTGGTGTTCATTGATGACATCTTGATATACTCCAAGAACATAGAAGAGCATGAAGAGCATTTGAGAATTGTCTTAGAAATTCTCAAGAAGAAGCAGTTATATGCTAAACTCAGTAAATGTGAATTTTGGCTTACAGAAGTTAAATTCTTAGGCCATGTTATCTCATGTGATGGGGTTGCAGTAGATCCTAGTAAAGTGGAAGCAGTGCTGAAATGGAAAAAGCCTGAAACGGTTACAGAAATAAGAAGTTTTCTGGGTTTAGCTGGTTACTATAGAAGATTTATCCAGAATTTCTCCAGAGTTGCTTTGCCACTGACTAAGCTCACTAGAAAGAATCAACCCTTTGTATGGGATGATAAGTGTGAGGCCAGTTTTGAAGAGTTAAAGAAAAGGCTCACGTCCACTCCAGTCCTGATTATTCCTGATCCTCAACAGACCTATGTAGTCTATAGTGATGCAAGTAAACATGGTTTGGGATGTGTCTTGATGCAACAAGGCAGAGTGGTAGCATATGCCTCTCGACAACTTAAGCCTCACGAAGAGAATTATCCTACACATGATCTAGAGCTAGCAGCAATAGTGTTTGCTCTCAAGATATGGAGACATTATCTCTACGGAGCAACTATAGAATTATACTGTGACCATAAGAGCCTCAAGTATTTACAAGACCAAAAAGAATTGAACATGAGGCAGAGAAGGTGGATGGAACTATTGAAAGATTATGATTATGAAATCAAATACCATCCGGGCAAAGCAAACGTTGTCGCTGATGCCCTGAGTAGAAAAACAGTGCAAGTGGCAGCTCTAATGATTGAGGAACAAGAATTATTGGAGAAATTTAGAGATTTTAATCTGTCCAATCAGATGATATTAGCAGGTTATGGTGCCACTCAAGTGGAAAGTGACTTGAGAGATGAAATAGAAGCAGCTCAGGAACAAGATGACTTGGCGAGATCAATCAAGATTAAAATTGAAAAAGGAGAGACACAAGATTATGATTTTTCACCTAGTGGGCTGGTTAGATACAAGAAAAGAGTTTATATTCCACTGAAGGCTGAACTTAGACGGAGAATTCTCGATGAGGCACATAAAAGCAGATATACCCTTCATCCGGGCATGACAAAGATGTATCACAATTTGAAGTCGTTATATTGGTGGCCAGGAATGAAAAGTGATGTCACAAAGTATGTAGCTCGCTGCCTCACATGTCAAAAGATTAAGATAGAGCATCGGAAACCTCCGGGACCTTTACAACCACTAGAGATTCCAGAATGGAAGTGGGAAAGTGTGACGATGGACTTTGTTGGAGGTTTGCCAAGAACAGCGGCTGGGTATGACACCATTTGGGTGATAGTTGATCGTTTAACAAAATCTGCTCATTTTCTTGCAATTAAAGCTAACTATACCTTAGAGAGGCTAGCACATGTATATATTAAAGAGATAGTCAAACTCCATGGTGTACCAGTTAGCATTGTATCAGATAGGGATCCACGATTTACTTCAAAGTTTTGGCGATCTCTTCATGAAGCTATGGGCACTCAACTGAAATTTAGCACAGCTTATCACCCTCAAACTGATGGTCAAACAGAAAGAACTATCCAAACACTTGAAGATATGTTGAGAGCTTGTGTTTTGGATTTTAAGAAAAACTGGGATTATATCTTGCCATTTGCTGAGTTTGCATATAATAATAGCTATCACGCGAGTATTCAGATGGCGCCATATGAAGCACTGTATGGAAGGAGGTGTCGATCTCCATTGTGCTGGACTGAGCTAAGGGAGAGAAGGTTGTATGGTCCGGAATTAGTTGATCAAACCACAGAGCAGATCAAAATTATTAGAAAAAGACTTCTTTCTGCACAAAGCAGACAAAAAAGTTATGCTGATAAGAGAAGGAGACCGTTAGAATTTGAGGTCGGAGATCATGTATTCCTCAAAATTTCACCAATTACAGGCATCGGACGAGCAATGAAGACTAAGAAGCTAAGCCCAAAGTACATCGGTCCATTTGAGATTCTTGGTAAAGTTGGACCGGTGGCGTATCAAATAGCTTTGCCTCCGCAATTAAGCAAATTGCATAATGTCTTCCATGTCTCTCAGTTGAAGAAGTATCAACCAGACCCTGAACATATAATTGAACATGAAGAGATAGGTGTACAAGATGATCTAACCTTTGAAGTAAAGCCAGAACGGATTATTGATCATCAGGAAAAACGACTCCGGCATAAAAGTATACCATATGTGAAAGTGGTTTGGAAGGGATTGACTCCTAGAGAAGCAACTTGGGAATTAGAGGAGGACATGAAGGCACAATACCCAGATTTTATGCTTCAAGGTACGTTTTAAATTTCGAGGACGAAATTTATTTTACGGGGGAGAATTGTAATATCCCAAAT